GTCTTTCGGGTAAGTTTGTTACATGATACTTGGACTTTTCATTTTCATATAAACATCGCAATTCATTAATTGTTTCACTTTTTTTTTGCTCAGTTATAAACAACAAACTTTTTTAACGTGGATCCAAGAGTGAAGCAACAAGTCCATCAAGCTTCAAGTCATCATAATAATAATTTAGTGCACGATGAAGCTTACTTTTAATCGTATCAATTAATCCAAAGGTATTAATTGGATTATTAATTTTGATTTTTTGTTTTGCCTTTGATTCATTTTCTTCTACATCGTCCTCTATTTGTCGTTTATCAAATGCATCATCTAATTCATCAGGATTTTCATTGTCATCAGTAGGGTTTGAAAAAGGACTTAGATTTGATTTTATTTTTTGTATCGCAGGATACATGTAACTCACGGTTGAATATTTACTCCCTTCTAACTTTTCTATAGCTTCAGCGAATTGTCCTAGAATAGGCATAATATCTTCAATAATTGACCATTCCTTAGAAGCTAAATTAATTTTTTCTAAACATTTTCCATCTTTCTTAGTTTTATAGTTAACATTTCTTACGTTCATGGTGGTAGAGAGAATATCAATAAACGGTTTTAAGGTTAAAAGACGATCCCAAGCATAAAAAGTACTTAACCACTGTGTTTCGCAATCAGTAAGTATATGATATAAAATTAATTGTGATTTATTTGTAGATTCTTCCTCAATATTCATTCTAGATATATGTTGTTTTTAAATATTTAGTAACCGTTTATTTTGTTTAGGACGAGCAAAAAAATTTATTAGTCTTTTTGCTCTCGCAATTAGAACCTCGGCCGGCAACATTCCTTTTCCAACCACCAACTAAATAGTATGAGCCGCACATGGGACTCTTTGAAGCCAAGAAATTTGTTTTAATACTTTCTTTATATTGGTACCGTTATCAGTTGTACAACAGAATACCATGTCTTTTAATTTCCATTCATTTATAATAGATTCAAGAGCTTCTTTTATATTATTACCTGTATGAGGATATGGTAAATGTTTAATTGCTAAGATAACTTCTCTTAATTCAAAACTAGACATTATAAAATGTGCTGTAACTCCAAAGAACCCCATCTTAGAACGAGACATCTATAAATCACATGTAAGCGATACCCAATTTGCTTCATATTTTAATATTTTGAAAAATTTCTGACTAACATAACTTTTAGATTCAAAAATCTTATTTTTGAATCTTTTATTACTAGGAATATTGAAATCCGGATTAAGATTGTTGATGAAACGTCAAGACGAAAAGGATTCAAGTGCTTGTAAAGGTAGATTATCTAAAATAATCCATTCATAAAGAAGTGATTCTAGATGTTTTTGCTGTTCTTGGGTTATTGGTATACAGGATTTGCTTTCAAGAGGCTTTTTAATTACTATATTAGGT